ATAAATTAATTGTCCAGAGTATCCTAAATAGAGATACGATTCGAATCCGATCAATCTGGATATCAGATTGAAAAGGAATTTTTTTTTTTCAATAAAATTTTCATTTTGAAGATTAGTTGATTTGTTTTTTTTTTTTTTTTTTTAAAAAAAAATAACTAACCTTTGTAGGACGGTCCGAACTTAGCTATTAGGAATGTGTAACTTATTTTTTTTTTTAGAACACCCATGCTAAAAGTTGAAACCTTGAAGCAAGCCTTGGGTTGGAATTAGATCGATTACAAAATGATATTACCTATTTTGAGTATAATGAACTTCAAAATATTGTTAAAACAGGTAGAGGTGGATATGTGTCGTGATAAAGCGGATTTGCCCAGTAGAGAGATTCAAATCGCATTGAAAAGTAAATTGATGACCTTTTCAAAGAAGTATGAATGTCTTCATTTGTATTTGTTCTAAATCATTTTAAAATCGTGAAATCAATTGTCCTAGTTGAAATTTCGAATATCATTCATTTCCTTGGAATACATTTTGCCTTTACCTCTGTCTCTTCCTCTTCTTTTTCTTCTGTCTTTACTTATTATTCTTTCCCTGCCTCTGTATTTTTTCATGTTGTAACCATTTTTATTTTTTAGTTTAATAAAATAAATTAAGAGAAGTGTGAGAAAAAGATTTTACGACATTGCAATTATAATAATTATTTAAATAATCATCATTTTAGTATATATTATCAATAAGCTATAATAACATCAATAATTATGTTACAAAGTGTTACAAAGTTTATCAAATGTAAAATATGCTTATCATAGATTTCTGTTAAGTATCTTAAACCAATTGATATTATCATTTATGATAATATTATAAAACTTAAGTTAAAGTTCGTTACGTCATCTAAAAGTTTATTAAACTACCGTTGTTAACTAAAAAAAAAATATTGCAAAAGCCAATCAGCATCGACTCAATTTTTGAGCGAGCGGACATCGGGACACTTTGCATAGACATATATAGTCCTTCACTTCGTTCCGGCCTAATAATTCTTCTAAATATAAAATAATAGAATCAGAATGTTAATTATACAACTTTATAAATATGAGAGGATATTATAGTTAGGAATGGGCGGTTTCTTAATTAACTGGTTAGAATTCGGTTCAAGATATCAGTACCTTCGGTTCCCGGTTCTGTTTTTAAAACTTTAAAAAACCAGTTCATTTTGTAAAACCAGTTCTAAAACTTATTTTCCATACATGTTAAACATGTAATACATGTATCGAATAGTTTACCTTTTAATATAAATATTATATTTACTTATATTATTTTCATTAAATGTACTTATTGAAAGGCGTAGTATAGTATTAGTTAACAATTTTATATAAATAGGCCTGTAAGTTGACCTTGAGTCAATAGAGTTCGAAGAGAGTTCGATCAGATAGTTTTCTGAATAAGTCTTGGGACTAGACTTATAACTCTACAGTTTAATAAAGTTACTATTTTACACTTTCAACCTTCTTCTTGTCTTCATCATAGGATTGATCGTGATAACCTATTACACAAGTGAATCGTGATAATAAATTGTTTTATTTGTTTATCGTTAATTTCTCTCAGGAAAGGCCTTTAAGATAATTGTGTTATCAAGTTTGTTTAGTTTTGTTAACTTGGTTTGAGACGATTCCAGGTCTAACACCGGTTAACATTATCATTATATATTCATAGTTAGTGGAAAATGGATGAGAATTTTTAAGAAGCCGCAATTCGAAGTGAAGGGACTTAATTTCCCCCCTCCTCCCAATTTTTTCAGTATTCTTACCGTATTGTTAAAAATTCCACTAGTGCCACAAAAAGATAATCATTTTCGATCTGTTAGTTCTTGAACTAATCGGACTCTGATAATCGAAAGTTAGGAATGGTGATTTTTTTTTTAAAAAAACAAAACATTAAAAAATAACTTTTTTTTTATTTATTTTAGGGAATCACCTTCGGCATTTCATTTTGGAGTATTGATGACTCGAATACAGTCAAACCTCTCTAAATGCACCTCCCTTAGGACCGGGCTTTATAGAGGATGTGCATTAAGAGAAAATGTAATATTTAACAAGTTTTTACAATCCAGTAGCAATAAATATATTTATTAATATTAATTTTTATGACTCCGTTAAGAAATTATGCAGTTACAAGATCGAAACTAATTTTTTACAAGTTTTAATTAACCACGTGACTATTTAGTAAAAAATCACGGGTTTCTGTAAAGTCAAAACTATATTAAAGTCTTATTAAAAAATCCGTCGAAATTTGCTTACCAAGTATGTTTATTTATAGTTACTTCTCAAAAAATCTAGAACATTAAAGAAGGTTAAAGTTCAAGCTATTATTTCAAACGCATAGGGTGTAAGTATTCTGGGTTTAGTAAGGTTTTTATTTGTGTACCGAAACACGAAAGATTTGTTAATGAATTGGGTAAAGTTGGTAGGATAGTTATTGGAGTAAAAGAACAATCAAGTTCCGTTAAGAAGTTGGGTAATGTTGGTAGGATAGTTATAGAAGTAGCAGAGCAAATAAGTTTCGTTAAGGAGTTTGGTAATGTTGTTGGTAGGATAGTTATTTCAGTAGCAGAGCAATTAAATTCTGTTAAGATGTTGGGTAAAGTTGGTAGGATAGTTATAGAAGTACCAGAACAATCAAGTTTCGTTAAGGAGTTGGGTAACGTAGTTATTTTGGTTATATAGTAAATGAGTTCAGATAATTTTCGATATCTTTGTAATCGTAAAGCTTTCAACAGTATAATCATAAATAATATCTGATGCTTCAATATTTGATTCTAATTCTTCTACATTCTTCTGACCAGCCAAATTGTCTTGATAATTTATCTGATCAAATCGAAAAATTTGAGATGATTCTACAAATAAATTATTTATAATAGAAGAAGCTTCGACGTAATCCAAACGACTTTGTTGTTGAAGATTTAATTCATCATTATTCGTTTGATTATTTTCTGTTATGATATTAGTTATCGTAACAATTGCTTTTAATTTATCAACTACTTGATTCATTGATGGACGATTATCCGGCTCATTATCCCAGCACTCTGAAATTAGATAATTATTATATTCTTATAAATAAGTTCATGATTATATATTTACCAGTACATAATCTACATGTGTGCCGGTAATAATCTTTTCTCTAAGTCCTCCTAAAATTTCGATATCTAAACCAATATCATATTCTTCATTCTTAACATAAAAAGGAGGATGACCTCTCGATATCTCCCATAACAGTACGCCAACACTGTAAACGTCACTTTTATTTAACGTATATTGTTGCAATGTTTTATCGTTTTTTCTTTGCCTGTCAAATCTTTTTGGATCAACATAAGGAAGTACACCAAAGACTTTTGACTGTTGTTTACTTGCTGCGTCAATAAATCCAAAGTCTGCTAGTTTAATAACACCTTGATGAATTAATATATTGCTGTAATGCTAAAATATAGAGTATAAAAATTTAAATATTAATTATTAAAGTAACATTAAGAATCAAATATATATTTTATGTAAGATTACCAAATCACTCCTTCGCCATGTAAACACGAAACCGCACTAGCCAACTGTATGCAAATTTGTATTTATCATCCCAGGTAAGCTCATCAAAATTATCCTTTAAATAATTTCTAAGTGTACCACCGTCGGCATATTCCATTACTAACAAATACTTTTTCATTCGATCATTTTGATTTTCTAGATTTTTTAAAAAATAAAAAATAAGATAAAAATGAAAATAATATAAATATCTTTAATAAACTTTATCATGATCATTTAAATACTTTGTTTTGAAGTTATCACACAAAAATGAATAATATTATCATGAAAATCAACTTCACAATGAAGTTCGAGCTAAATTATCACAAACAAATTTTTAATTTGATGATTTTATACTAAATAGACCGAACACATATTGTATATACCTATACCTCACGAACAAGTTCTTTAACAGAGACTTCGTTAAAGTCATTAAACGATTTTAACGCGAAAAGTTGTTTTAATTTTTCCAATTTACACGATAAACTTTGCCAAAACCACCTTTATCAATCACTTCGTGATTACTAAAATGTTTGTATTCGTAGTATTTGATATTTTTACTTAAAATATATTCTTCAATCCATTCATTTGAATTATTAGCAGCTTGCATTTTATTTTATTTTTTTTTAATTATTACAGTAATTTTGGAGAAAAGAATAAAATTCACTTAGTCGATCATGCAATTCTAACCCACCATTCATTTATATAGTACATTTAATTAGGTAACATATTAGCTAAACTGTACTGTATAATATTTTATTGTACGATAAATCAAAAAAAAGTGTAGTGTACAATGTGTTATGATTGGTAAGTACAGTCACCATTTAATGTTCTTTGGTGTAATGGTGAACACCAATCGCTATAATTAAATAAATGATGATATCAAAAATAAAAATAAAATAAGAATATGCTTATGAAAGAAGAAATGAAAAAATTACCTAAAAAAAATAAGATAATATAATTAAAAAAAAATATAATAAAATAAACTTACCTATGCATTAAAATAAGAGAAAAAAAATAATTAATGAAATATGAATCGCCTCTTGATCTAACCTTTTAAGCATATTATTAGCGGAAATAATATAATTTTCGTGATAAAGTGAAAGTATAAAACTATAAAATCATCGGAAATATCAAAACTTCATCCATTGAATTACAATATTGAGTGATTTTCTCATTTTCTCAAGTAATTTTTTATTAAAAGTTCGAAGTTCATTTGTTTTGTGAAGAAAATTCTTAACATCAGTTCAGTAATTTTTATTTTACTTACTCCAAAAGTATTCAAAATTAATAATAGCTGTATCTAAATGATTAGCGAATTGATGTATAAGTGATACATTTTCTAAAATTTTGATTAGGAAATTTTCCAAAATGCTAACGCTTTCTAAAAAATATATGTGTTGTAATTTGCAAAAATATAAATGATATTATTTGATATTACGCTAAAGGATGTACTGTGGTAGCAGAAATTACACGAATTAATCTATCCAAATATGAATTTTTTAATGTATCTTAAATTTCTTCTTTATTTTATTCATGTCAATTAATTCAGATCCTAACTCAAGGACTGCTTGTAATTCTTGTCTTGAGCTAGCTGCAAAATTTTGAAGTTTATTTAAATATTTTGACTTTTTTATAAGAAGACTGCTTTCATCAGTTATATAAAGAGCCCTACTAGTTGAAATATACTCCATCTCCTCACCTTTAAGATGATTTGATGTTTAATCATAACACTTTCTTAATAAGTCATGTAAAATGTATTTATTTAAAATTTTTTCAGAAAAAATGAAATTAATTGATTTATTTACAAATCATAAATAAACAGTTAAAAAATATTCTTACTTGATTCTTCCAATGATATTTGAAAATACATCAAATATATTTCTATTAATTCATCAATAAATTGAGCAACTAATTGTAATAATCTGATAATATTGAAAACTACTTCATAGTTACTAAAGTTATTTTGCAAAAATATTTTGCAAAAAAGGTTAAAAATTGTGCTTTTTATTTATAAATTTTTTAAAAATTTTTTCAAATGTTATTTTTTATATAAAGTTAAAAATTGGTATTAAAATAACCCAATATTGGTAAAAAAAAAAAAAAAAAAATGAGATTGAAAAGTTCATTATAAGTAATAACTGTTAATTTTACCTAATTTGATTTCATAAAATTAGTAAAGTAAGCTTTTTTCAATCATTATGCGAGAAAGAGAATTTATTAGCAACATCTTTAATTAATAATATATAAGAGGTAAGCTATTAAAATCATAACAGATTATCTGATTTATTTTATTCATAACTCAATTTTGATAGCAAACCTCCCATATGCATCTTCTATTATTTTATAATCTTTCTTTATTGTTTTATTGTATGTAATAAGGATCTACATTCATCAATTTAACTCTATCATTATCAAACTTTTTAACAAAATATACAATTTATGTATATAGATAATAATTATACCTTTTTTGATTCAAATGAATGTTAATACATTAAATTAAATTGAAAAACTATATCAGTAAAATGAAGTTTAAAACTAATTATCAGAGTTTAACTAATTTATTGCAAGTTATTGTTTGATATATTAAAGAAGTTATTAGAGTAATTATTATTTGATAAAACTTAAATTATATAAAAAATATTTTTTTTATACATAAAGTTACAAGAAATATATGTTATAATAATAATTGTAAAATTGTAAATGTTAATATTTAACTATGAATCAGAAAATAATATAATATTTGTAAGAATATTTAATATAGGTTGGCTTAAACAGATAAGTGATCTTCATATATATCTTTATTTAAAAAAAAAATTATTAAATTATAAAATTTATTTATAATAATAATGAATTAAAGTTTATAGAATCAGAATATATTAGTTTAGTTATTGAAATAGAACTTGACAATAGCCATATGTAATAGGAAAAAGAATAAATAAATTTAGTTTCTATTAGAAGATAAAACTAATTTAATCTTGAAAGTTAAAAGTACCTATATATCTTTCTGAAAAACTTAATAACTAATATACCAGAAGAGATATTCAAAAGAAATTATAAAATAAACAATAAAAATCCCAAATAACCTATTTTTTAAAGATATATTATCTTAGTAATATATTAATTTAATAGTTATTTTTTGTTAAAGTATGATATCTATCAAAAATAAAAATTAAATATTGATCAAATTACTAAAAGTACAGTCATCCCCTTATATATATTGGTCAAAATCAAAAAAATTGGATATGCAAAAAATTGGCTTAAATTCAGCCTAAATTTGGCAAATTAATAAAAAATCAGCTTAGCTGATTGACATATACTAGAAATCAGTCAATAATCAGCTGAAATTCGACTTGTCTTATTTATAGCTGATTGGCATACTTATTTCTGATTGGCATACGTCAAAAATCAGCTAAAATTTGACTCATCTTATTTATAGCTGATTGATATCTGATTTTACATCCGATTGATATATATCAAAAATAGACTAAAATATTTCAAAATAAAATAAAATTCAGAAGGAAATATAACTGATGTTTAAGATTAACAGCCAAATAATGCTAAAAACATTCAATTTATTTTTACAAATAGTATTTTCTATTAATTAGATTAACAGTCAAATATTCTTTTGCATTTCGTTAGGCTGAAATTTGATAGTAAATCGATACAAATCAACTTAAAATATGATGAACTAGTATTATACAATCATGACTTTCTAGATAAAATTTAGTATCCTATAATTTGATATTACATGTTTCTTCTTCGCTAAAATAATACCGCATATTTAAAAACTTGCAGGTTTATACCAATGAACAAATGCTAGAAAATGTTTAGCCTTTCTGAATGGCAAATCGATCTTATGTGTAAAATAATATTGAACTTGGCCAGGATAACAATTAACTGTACTATTATTTGTAATAAATTTGGCTAAAATATATGATTTTTTTACATGTCGCAAAGACATTAATGATTCAAAGATTTCAGAACTAATTTGATACCTTCTGAACTGATTTATTTTAACCTAAATCATTATACTATCTTCTAAATTCTTATCAAATAGCTTCCTAAAATCAAACGTGATATAAGCTGCATTGTAGTATTCAACTATCAAATCAAGCATTTCACTTGAAATAATTATATTATTAAAAGATGATTTAAGGAATTCGCTAGAAAATAGTTCACTACCAGTAACATTTGATTCCTTAATATTTCATGAATTCATTCAAAATTGATGTATTATATCAGAAGAAAATTCGTCTGTATCTAAAAGGTAACTAATTAAAGACTGATTATCTAGCAATTTAAGCCTTTTTACCTCAATATTACAGAACTATCAATTTAAATATCAAGCATCAATTGACGCATTAGCTCAGGTTTAATTTTTCTATTATTATACAGTAAAGAACTTAAAAATTCTTTATAAATAAGTAAACCGATTTATTCAAAAAATTCTCAAAAAAAAATACCTAATATTCCATTCATGCGTTCAAAAGAAAAATACTAAAATGCATATAACAGACTATAGTTTCTTAAGCAATCATACAAATGGAGAGAAAGGTAAAGATTTGGCATGAATTTGTTGCATTTGTGATTATTTCAACCAACTTCACCATCTCAATTAGTCTTCGATATACTTTATATAATAGATGTGATTCTACAATCTGACTTACTAAAATTATACAAATCCTTATGAAATATGTAAGAATCTCTTTATCTACAATCAGAAGATATTCTCAAAGTGAAACAGTGGTATATATAGTGAAAAATATTCACCACTGATCGACTATAAAATTAGAAAATCCTTCTTCTTCATAAATTTTACCCAAAATTCGACCTAAATCAGAAGGAATCTGAAACTTGTTCGTCTTTTTCTGAATCTTATTCAGAGAATTTAATGTCAAAATCCCTTTATCAATTCAGATTCATTTTACTATCTATCATGCAATGCCTAAAAATAGACAATGCATTAGATCGATTGTGATATATTTTATAGGGTCAAAATATAACAAACGTAATATTTCAGACTATCTTACACACTTTGCTTTACAAATCATTTTTGTGAAGTATCTGAATTGTAGTGTCTCCATTATAACGCATTTCAATGATGTTCAATTGGATCTCACATAATAAATTAATCATCGATAATATCTATTCTAGCAAAATTATGCTGATTATTTTTATAATTTGCTTTCTTTTCGCATCTATAATATAATACTAAGGCCAAAATATGTTCACATATTTTTTAGTGACTAGTACATCACATGAAAAAAGAATTAAAGCTGCACGAATGTTCTTTTTTTCAGGATATTCATATATTTTATCTATTGTAAATCCATCTCAAAGTAATTCTAATTTATCTACAATTAATGTTAAATAATGATTTATTTTATGTAAACTGACTTCGCTTGATCCAAGTAAAAGACTAAAAGTCAGTAAATTTTCACATTTAAATCAGATATCATGAGGCAAATTGTATATAGCAGCATATATTACTCTAATGCTATAAACAGTACCACCATATAGCTAGAACTAGTTGAGATTTAGCATTAATCTAAGATGAGAATTGGCTACTTCATTTCAAAAAAAATTTGCTGAATCTTCTTGTGAAGATTCTTTTAATTTTTGCTATACTTCACTATCATATATATCAGTTATAATATTATTAAAACGCTGATGATTTATTCATTGTCTCAGGCTAGTTTCAAACTTAGACTAATAATATATAGAAATGAGTTGTTATTGAATTTCAGAAAATGGAAAGATCAAATTAAAGTTCAATTTGTTAATATGATTTTTTGAAATAACGGAGTATTGCTAAATCATGTTTTGCGAATTGACAAGTTGAGAAATTCTATATGCTAACATTTTATTACAGTCAGCATATTATTCTGTTTTTGATACAGCTTATGACATTTGAAACAAGAAACAAAATGGTGAAATCAGTCATTTAATCCAAATGCTTTTTTCGTTAAGTATATTGAATTTGAAAATTTTTTAAATTTGTCATCTCTGATTTCTGTCAGAATCAATTTTATAAATTTTATTAACACCTCAGTTGCAGACTCTGTAATGTTGAATCTTGTCCAAAATGACATGATCCAAAGTAAAATCCACAAAAATCAGTTATTAATTGATTCTGTATTTGATGGATTTTAAAATAACTCATAATCCAGTGATGCATAATCTTCAAAAGTTTAAAAATCATCCTTTACAGAAATATCATCATCTTTAGATTCACCTGTAATATAATTTTCTTCAGTAGTAAATTCTAAAGATTCTAAATGTTGATCAGCTTCTATTTCAGGATCATTAGAAGGATTTATGCTAGATTTTGAACGATTTGTATATTTTCTTACACATCTTTAAGGTAAAAAAGTAGAATCAAAATCATCTTGATATCTATCATCAGATTTATGTTTGACGATTTCTATAATTCATCTAGTCGAAGTCGATATTGATGATTCTTCTATTTCGTCTTGTATTCTGAATTGATAAAATGTATCTAAAATAGAACTTTGTGAATCTTGATATCTAACTCTAATATTATGAGAGGTTGATGGCCTAGAAGTAAATATATTTTTTTCATCAGTTAAATCACTAATCGACCTACTTGTTCTTCTATAAGAAGGTGTATTTGAAGATTGAAAAGTAGAAATATCTTCTTTATAAATTAATCTAGAAATCAATCTATTTT